TCCCAAAAAGTAAAAACATGAAAACAACAAGCTTTAAGAGCTTTGGATTCTATCTCAAATAGTCAAAACTATTTACAACTATTCAGATTTGAGTGATTTTTCTTACAAATCATACTTAAACAAATAAACAAATCATACTTAAAACTAGAATGTCATAAGCAAATAAAAGTCTTTGGCAGAAAAGAAAAAAAAGTCAGTAGATGAACATTTTATTGGAGGTGTTGTACATAATATTCTCTTTGTCCATAAAAAATGGAAGTGATGTAGTTTAAAAGGTATCTACGTGTAAGCTTCTCTGTGGCACAAAAGGTTAGGATCGACGTTGAAAACCACAAAATATTTTTAAAATGTTAATAATACGATAACATAGAATACCAGAGTGATATAATTTTTTAAATAGAAAATCAATTTGAGGACCGACTCCTACCAAGAACTCTCTGGCTCTTTTTAGATGCATCTGCCGTCAAAAAAAAGAAGATGCATCTAATTACACCAATCATTATTCACTTCCTCGAGATAATATGACTTTTCGCGTCCACTAAAAGATATATTCTCCCAAAATAATTTTAATGCGTGGTCGTGTTTTATCGTTTTCTACAATATGAATATATAGTAAATAATTTAAGTAGGGTGACAAATAATTTTATGGCATAAGATCTACGAAATTTTTTAAAAAGGGCTAATTTTTTTATTAATCTTTAGTTTATATTGAAAAATGCTCCAAAATTTTATTTTTGCTTAGGGTTCTATTAAAAATTTGAGATAGTCCTAATATAATCTGATTGGTAATTTACAGTAGTACAAATTTTTTAATTGTAGGATAGAACAGTAAGCGGTTATAACATAGTGTAAAACTGTAAGAAATAAGTGTAAAAGTAATGATTGATTACATAAATAGACACTTATAAAAATGATTAACTCAAATAGACACTTTCTGCTATTTGGACACTTTTTCACTTTTTCTACTTGAAAGCCCGAAACTACTCTCGAACAAAAGCAGCATCGCTTTAACGTTTTCTCTCTCATTGTTCTCGTCTCTTTCAAACAAAAATCAATCCATGAAAATTCAATAAAAAATTTTCAATAAATCCAACACAGTGAATCGCGAAATTATGAATTTTTAATCTATCGATTTATTTCAG